ACCATAAACTTAACTTCTGCTTTCCTCCTCATTGGTGGTTGTTAGGAAGTGACCTGGAAACTAGCGCTAGGTGCTTCCTCCAGTGATGATAATGGACTGAACCTCTGAAACTGTAAGTCAGACCCAATGAAATGCCCCTTATAAGAGTTGCCTTCATCATTCTGTCTGTTAACAGCAATGAAAATCCCAAGTAAGACACTCACCATCCTTTCTTATAGCACTTCTCTAAAGGGCTTGGGTCACTTTCTCCAGCTCTGCCCTCTGTAGCACTCTAGGTTCTGGTTGACTCACTCCGCTGCTGCTGTTGTTCTTGATCATCCCACAGTGCTGACATCTCCAATATGCTAGAGTCTTCTGCTGAAGCTAGGCTTCACCAATAGCCTCGCATAGGTTCTCTTCATGGTGCCAACCCTCAACTCCTTTGCGTGACCCCTTCAGTCCTGGGATGTCAATGGAAACTGAGGCTGCGCCATCACCAATGGCCTCCCATGGCCTCTCACAATGCCAAGCCTCAGCTGCTCTTCATGACCCCTTCATGCCTTCAAAACAAGTACCACCTGGATGATTCTTACACATTACCAAGTCCAGCTGTAGCATAAAGTATATTATAACCTTTGCTGTCCCTAATACACAGCGTCTTTGTGCTCTCAGTTAACACTTTTCAGATTTCACATCAATTATGCTGGTCTCTTCTTTATCACTGCTAATTTCTTAGCTCCAGCTAACCAGCATCAATTGTCCCAGTAGTCCCTTCTATACTGAACTCTAATGCCAGAGCCACATGGCCAAAGCTGTCGAGTTCTGCTGCTTGCTTGGGCTGGAACATGGTTGTTCTTGTACTATTACATTATCAACAGCTTTTTTCTGTTCTCCAACTCCTTCATGGCTGTCCTGAAACTTGCTCTGTAGATAGAACTTGAACTGCATGGCTCTGTCTCCTGAATGCTGGAATTAAAGGCATGTACCAGCATGCCTAAATTTAAGCTTTTCTTAAGCTAGTACATGCTCTGTACCAGGCTGACCTTGAACTCAGAGATATACTTAGCTTTGACTCCTAGGCACTACCATACCTGGACCTAAGCTTTTCATGGCCACTATTCCTCAAGATATGAATCAAAAGCCTGTGTCCTTCCAGCCTCAAGATCTGGATCACAGGTATGTCCCCCATTTCTGGATTGTAGTTCATTCCAAATTAAAAGTACAAATGAATACAATAACCAGGTGATAATAACACCTAAATATAACTATTTCTTATTCAACTGCAAAAGCATCAACAATAAGTTTAGCTGGGAGGGATCATGCCTGGAGGTCACCACTCCCTGAATCTGTTTATCTCCATGAGTACAGGATTTAGCTTCATTCCACTTCGTGTTGCCTCTTTAATAATTAAACCATACAGTTTGTACTTTTTTCTTTCTCAGCTTGCTACTTTTCATTAAAACTGTCTTCATAAGAGTGAACTTTCTTAACCGTAGAAAAGAGTTTATGCCAGAATGTTTTGATGCTTCCTTTATCAAAACAATTAACTGAAATTCTCTTTTATCATAGTCTCAGATAGACTCTTCAGGCAAGGGTAAAAGCAGCCACATTCTTCATCAATAAATAACAAGAACAGTCTCTAGGCCACATACTAAAATACTCTGTTCAGACACATCACTGTTTTGTCCAGTGTGTTCCAAAACATAGTAGTTGTTAGGTGTTTCTGTACTGGGAAGAGACCAGTGAGCTGGGTAGTTTTATGTCAAGTTGACAAAAGCTAGAGTCAGCTGAAGGGAAGGAACCTCAGTTGAGAAAATGCATTCACCAGATCGATCCGTAGAGCATTTTCTTGATTAGCGGTTGATGGTCGAGGGCACAGCCCATTGTGTGTGGTGCCATCTCTGGGCTGCTTTCTTATTGTTGTGGTTTTATAGAAAGCCCTCTTATTCTCGGAATGTGACATCCACCTGTATTCTGGTAACTCTTCCTAACTGATGTTAATGTGGACCCTTCAACTCTGTGTTAGTTAATGTCCGTGTATTTATATCTACCCACTTACACTTATCTATCTTTTTTATCTATTTATTAGAAAGAAAAGCCTACATTAAAAACAGATTGTTTCATTAAAAAATCTTATTGATAATATGCCTTTAATTATTGTTTAGACATTGGATATTTAATGTGAATGTTAATACATATAGATTCTATCATTTCATAACCATAATCCTATTTATTTCATTGTATTTCTTCATTTTATTTTTCCCTCTTTTTGTTTTTTTTTTGGGGGGGCATTTTTACTATTTAATCTTTTAAAATTTTGCTAGAATGCCAACAGTTAACATTAGATGTACCTAGCTGACCAATTCCAGGTTTGCGAGCAGTGTTTCTTTCTATATGTACAACATGGCAAAACAGATCACCAGACATTGTTCATTTCCCAGGAATGAACTGGCATTCCTACAATGACTTCTCTTCCACACTAGCCTCCAAGACTTGGTAAGTTCCATTCCAGCCTTTGATCCTAGGAATTTGACTATTTTAGATTCTTCATGTAAGTGTTGAGTGTTTGTCTTCTCGTAACTGGGCTTTTGTTTTCCTTACCTAATATGTTCTCTATATCCAACTGTTGTGACAGAGTACAGAAATTCCTTCTTCTAGGTTGAATAGTATCTCATCTTCTATCATCGTTTAGCAATATTTGAATTTTTGTTGATTTCTTTTAGTGGAAGTCCACTGAATTAAAGCAAATTACTGTACTTTCTCATTCTCCTTAAAGTTTGTTTTACTTACTTAAGTTAGATGCACATACCTTGTTGCTAGATAGGCCCTCCCCTATCTCCTCTAGATTAACTATTAAGAATATTTTGAGACATATCATAACTGTTTTTGCATGTATGTTTAAACATTCACATTTGTGCATTAAACACACATGTGCAGGCATGTGTGTGTGCATGTTCCTGTGTGTGTATGCTTGTGTATATACGACTATGTGTATGAAGATCCAGAGTCCTTGTTGGGAGTCTTCCTTGATAATCTGATTTTTATATATACTGAGGTTCTCTCTCTCTCTCTCTCTCTCTCTCTCTCTCTCTCTCTCTCTCTCTTTCTCTGAACATCATGGCACCTGTAGAATCTAGCTAGCCTGGCTACCAGCTTGTTTAGAGATCTTCTGTCTTCAGAGTGCCAGGATTAAAGATGGCTGCCACATGTGCTGCAATCTTTATATATGTGCTAGGTATTCAAACTCTGGTTGTCTTAGTTAGGGTTACTACTGTTGTAATGAGACACCATGACCAAAAAGCAAATTAGGGAGGAAAGGGTTTATTGAAATTATTCTTCCACACTGTACTCGATCATGGAAGGAAACCTGGACAGGAACTCAAACAGGGCAGGAACCTGGAGGCAGTAATTGATGCAGAGGGCATGAAGGGGTGCTGCTTACTGGTTTGCTTCCCCTGGCTTGCTCAGTCTGCTTTCTTATAGAACCCAAGACCACTAGACAACGGATGGCACCACCCACAATAAAGGGGCCCTCCCCCATCAATCACTAATCAAGAAAATTCCCTACATATGGATCTTACAGAAACATTTTCTCTACTGAGGTTCCTTCCTTTCTCATGACTCTAGCTTGTGTCAACTTAACATGAAGCTATCCAGCATACTGGTCTTCTTAGATAACTCAACAAAAACTGTCTTCTGTGATATCTCCCTCCCCTCATGGCTATATGGATTGTCTAAGCACTGTTTTACTATGTTATGCTTTGTAGCTTCATGGTTTTTGTTGTTGTTTTGGCAAGAAATTTGGAGGAAGGCTACAAACTTCAGCCAAGCTATGGCTATGGTGTAGTAGTGTTTGGGACCTTCCACACTCATCTTCTAATGGTTCATTTTGTTTTTGTTGTGTTGTGTTGTGTTTTGAGACAGGGTCTTACTCTGTAGTCCTGGATCTTCAAGAACACTCTATGGAGGCCAAGCCGATCTTAAACTCACAGAGATCCACCTGTCTCTACCTCCCAAGTGCTAGGATGAAAGGCATGTACCCCATGCATCCCCAGCGGCCTGTTTGGAAGTGTGGCAGTTCTATGGCTCAGGTCTCAATGCATACAGTAGCACCTTTAGCATCTGATTCAGCTTGCTGACGAGTCCTGGAGTTATAATCAATCTTGCGTCCTTAACTCTCATATGCTTCTGTCTTCGAGATCTGTACTATCTTTTGAGTTTTGTAGGTTTCCTCTCCTCCTCTTGGCAGTTTTCTAGCCAGGATTGAGGATTATTAGCCCCACTGCTCAAGGCACATCTTAATTGCAAGAGGACACAGAGGAAGAGGTATAAATAGAAGTTCATTACACTCTATAGGGACTCCAGATTCTTATATCTAAGAGGACAGTTCTCATTCCTTGGAGAAAAAGGTTCCTGAGTATCTGGGGCATTCTTGCTTTAAACACTGGATTGTCTAAGGTCTGGGCAAGGACCCAGGAAAGGGATGAGAAAAACCTAAGAGAAAGAAAGGCCAGGGAATCCTTCCTCAGTCTCCATGCTTCGTCTGCAGCTCTGTGGTCAGCCCTCATGCCCACTTGTAAGACTTGGGCTGACTCAGTCTAGATTGGTAAATATTGTGGGAAAAAAGGGAAAGTCTATAAGCTCTGGATTCTGATTTTCTCTAGCCCACCTATCACTTTTTGGAGGTTTCAGATTGATTCTTTGCCGTCTTAAAATTTAATGTTACTTATCATTCTCCTGTGAATGGATTGGAGAAGCAGAAAGAATATGCACTTGCACACGATACGACATGCAGGGAGGTCAGAGGAAATGTTGAGAATTTGTTCTCCTTATGCCTTTAGGTGGAATGGAGAGATTGTAGTAGGTCCCCAGGGTACACTGAAAGTGTTTCACCTACTGAATGATTTCACCAGCCCTCAAAGTGATTTTTCTATGCTTGTCTGCCAGTTCTATAGCTGTGATGAGGCTAGTGTCTCAGTTAGGGTTCATATTACTGAGATAAAACACCATGAGACGAAGTAGCAAATTGGGGAGAAAAGGGTTTATTCAGTCTTACAATTCTCAGGTCCATTGTCCAGGGAGTACAAGCCGAGAATCTGGAGGCAGAAACTGAAGCAGAGCTATGGAAGAGTGTTGCTTACTGGTTTCCCATTTATGGCTTATTGAGCCTGCTTACTCATAGCATCCAGGGCCAACAGCCCAGGGGTGACACTGTACACAGTGAGCTGTGACCTCCTGCATTGATTGTCAATCAAGACAATGTACCACAGGCTTACCCACAGTCCAATATGGTGGGGGTGCTCTCTCAGTCAAACTGCTTTAGCTTATATCTAGCTGTCATAAAACAAGCCAGTAGTCAGGACTGTATGTGCTTATTTTGTTACTTGAAGTGTCCACCTGGGAATAAAATGAATGTTATTGAGAACTGTCTCTGAGAACAGTCTGGGAGACCCTACAGAGTCCATAAGGGCAGGTCTGCAGTGTGTCCATGAAGGACAGCATCCATCTCAAATGGCGATGCTTTTTTATACTGAAATAAAGCATGGTGACCATTATATTTGTTCAATGTATGAAAAACAAGAGGCAGGATACATGGCTTCCTCATCTAGATGGTGCAGTGAGGAAACAGGGCTTTGCTTTCACTCTGCTGAGTCTAGCTGCTCAGCCAATGTCTCCACACATAGGAATTTTGTTTCAATTATATCCCTTGTTTTAGTTGATATGTATGGGGTAAATATTAATACCATTTTGCCCCAAATGCAAACCTGTCATCCTCACTGTACCTAGCTATGGAAAAGAGGACAATCTATAAACATGGACTGAATATTTTTGCCTTCATGTATGTACAAGGCTGAGGAGCTGTAAAGCCAAAGGCTTGGGTGCTTACTTATCTTAGAACAAGATAAACCTAGCTGCACTGGCCAGAAGAGGTTTCTGAGTCTATGATCTCAGGGAGAGGCTAACAAGAAACCCAGGAAACCTGGCCATAACCAGGGCACAGTGGTTCAACAAGTGTGGGTTCCTCCCCACTGCAATCCCACAGCAGTCCTTCCCACAAAAACTTCCTCCAGGGATAATTTATGCTCTTTGGTTCCTCTTTAGCTCTGAGAGTTCCAGGCAGGATGCTGCTTACCGCCAAAGCCAAAGTGGTTTTTATGATGTGGTTCTTCTGCGAAGAAGGATCAGAAGAGCATTTCACACAGGCACCAAGTGGTCAGATGTCAGCGGATGACCCACTCTGCCTGTAAACCTCATTTGGTCCACAGTGGATGTGACTCATGATATGAGAGCCAGTTCATGAGGTGCCGCCTTCATTGCCCATGTGATAAACCACCCTTGTTCCATCAGAAAAGGTGGCATTCAAATGTCACAAACAGCAACATCAACTGAAACCCTGTTTTAGCTACAGGACCCACTTATGAGAATCAAATTCACCTTGTTAATCAAAACAATGACCCAGCCCTTAAACTCATCATCTTGTTACCAAGGAAGACTTCCCCTAAGACCACTCAGTCAATCAGTGTCCATGCAGGGTACCACTCTCAGCAGGTAAATGGCTCATGCAAAAGTTGTATTCTTCCTGCTTGTCAACGAGTATGTGCACTTATGCCTCAGTTTCTGCTTGACAATTGCTACCTCTCCAGGTTGTCGATAACTATGAATCCATTCCTTGTCTTAATTAGATTAATGATCTAGGACAAATCTGTCTCTATTTGCAGAGACTCGGGTAAGATTTGATTTCTGCACGAAAGGTCTCTAGCCAAGGAAACTAGGAGAAATTGTAATTAGCTCCATCCTGTTCCTAAACCCAAATCCTGTGCAGATTGTACCAGCCAAGAGGAGGGCTCTGTCCTCTCTGTTATATACAGTTTAGAAGAACTTGACTCAAAATTTTGACACTCTGAGTGTTGAGTATTTTTTCTGATGCTAGTGATTAGTGAAGTGACTTTCACTTACAGTACTGAGCAGGAAAGAAATCCGACTCTCTGTCTCTTAGACACAAGGGGAATGAATGCCATTCATTCTATAGTATACCTTTCTACGCTTGGACACAGGATGAGCTCACTAAAAGCATTTGTGAGTCATGATATTTTCTGCCAACAATGGATCCCATGCACATTATTTAATGGCATGTCTAGAAACATAAACCTAGTTCATGCCTTCAAAGTAGTCATGTCCCATAGGGACCCAGAAGATCGTATCTATTCTGTGCTCTGTGAGTCTATGTATTCCTCCACTGTAGAGCTGATGAATAAACATGCAGCAAAACTTCTTAACAGAAGGGCTTTAGACAGAGTTTCAATTACTCATAACTAACAAAATAAAATCTTATTTACCTGATTGCATATAATAACGCAAACATGATAAATTCATAAATATAGTGCAAAATGGCCATGCATGCATGTTGGACAGCCTATGGAGCTATTTCTGTTGATTCTGCTCAGGCTACTTGGAAACTCTCAGGGAAATGTGTGCTGAGCTCACAGCAGAGGTCTGGATATTATTCTCTATATCTGTTCCAGGAACTCAGACCCTAAAACCACAGATGCTGCTTCATTCCACTGCCTGCCAAGCTTGCTTGGTGCTGAGAGCAGAAAGGCTCAATATTCTATCAGCCTGATCCACACAGCAAATTCTGTTTGCCCATCAGCACCTCTTCTGATGGCTGGAGAGAAGGAGGTTCTGAGCTCTGTGGCTGTTCCCTGCATCCGGCTTTCCGGTTCTGAGCTCCGTGGCTGTTCCCTGCCTTGGGTATTCCTCCCAGGGGTTTCTGCGTCACTTGGTTCTTTTCAGAGGAAAAGCCCTTCGGGAAAATTCTGAGCCAGTTGAACATAAACCTGTTGGAGTTCTTCACAGGCATGTGGTAACGAATTTGGGTCCAGAACCTGGAACTGGCGTGGACTGACTTCAAGCCTTTCCACGTGACTGTGGGGAGAACCCGCAGAGCCTTCTTGACAAGGTAAGGAAGAGAGTCTGGCTCTTGGAAGGAACAGAACTTAATTAAAATTAGTTTCAGTGTCTGATCAACCAAAGCAAGATTCACTGCTGCTTGTAGTTCAAAGACATGGGGTCCATTGATGTACCTGGGACTCAGGATAAATATTCCTCTCCGGCTTTTCTTAATGGTGCTCACAACGTCATCTGCATACACTGGAACCAAAAAATAAATTAAGGACTTTCAACTGATATTATTAAAACTTGAGTCATAGAAAGTTCGCACCTTCCAGAGATGCCTGGAGGGTTTCTTCTAACTTGGATACTCTTCGGCAAAGAGATAAGGAGAAAGGACCCTTGCCCCATTATTGTCACACTCTGAACTGTGGAAGATATGTGCCAATACCTACCAACTGTCCCTGTATTCTTTTGCCTTAAATCACCACCTGAACCACCTAAACCATGTCAGAACGTGACTGAGAGATATGGTACATTGAAAGCTACTTGTGGAAGTATCTGGGACAGGGAAGACTAGCAGGCCATTTGAGGCCTGGATGGGTCATCCGTGACATCCAGCTAAGAGGCCTGCTATACTGCCTGCTGGAGCAGAATTCTAGAAGCCAGAAAGGCCATCTGTTCAAGATAAGAGTGATTATTTCCCAGGAAGAATCCAGGGACAGCCTAGGTGGCTTTATTGTTTACTATTTTCCTGGAAATAGATATTTTTGGAAGACAGAGCATGTTTCCAGAGCACAGTTTTCTGTGTTTTTGTCCAAGATGATGTAAGCTCATAAAAAATTGAAAACACAGAAAGTGTGTATCACAATTAAGGCATGACAGAAGAAGCTCTGGGCTACAGTGGGTTACTCTTTGTGTTCTAATTGGTTCCTCTGCAGGCAAGACCTACCTCCTCCTGGGGTCACATCTGCAGACCTACCTCCTCCTG